CTAAAGACATTATAATTGTCAGATTTTTTGGTTAACCCATAAGCTACAGAGCTTCCCCATTGACAAGTAAAATTGTTCTGTTCCTAAGCGAAAGGATTCATTCTAAGATTGATATTTAATTACCATATGAACTGCTAATTGAAAATGTACCACTGACACAAATTCTATCTAATATATATACTTGTTTATTGCACCTCTCCTCAAAGGCCTTATTTTCATGTTTGCCAGCCTGTTCTTAGCATGGCAGGTACACATGAAGGTTTTTCGCTGCAGCAGCCAATTAATTAAGAGCTAATATTTTTTAACTAATATATTGCACCTCTGGTTACTTCAGAATCCTCTACTGGCAAACAATTTGCTGAGACCAAAATCAGCGAGTCATTATCAAACTCTTGTTTGCAGTAACTAACGATGTAATCAACACAAGCTGTTTCTTCACTCAAACTAATATATGTCTGTCTTGTAGGGTTGGTAATTTTGTTTCCACTTCTTTCTGCTAGTGTAACTTTAAGAGTATAACTGACTTTCTTCTTGCCAGGAACAACTGAACTAAAAGTCATTAAAATTTAAATACAGACATTAATATTAAGATTTCAATAAATCTTTCATTATATTTTAATATTTATATTATTGCAAACTCGCACACATAATTAATTATATCCTTTGCATAGGTACAGAGTCTGCACACAGGCTAATGCACAAATTGAAGAAAAATAATTTTCCCTGTGGACATATACTGTATATGCAGACACATTCTATTAAGTTATGTTGTGTCTGTATGCCGGCAACAGTTTTTAGAATTGTTCTGTCTTAGCATGACCGCAATTAAGCAGTAAACCTAGCTGTCTGTCACCCAACCAGCCCTCTGATAGAAATTATATATTAACTACTGTAGGCCATATTTAGGGGAGGGGGTGAATAGGGGTATACAAATCCACCGATCCTACCAAACTTGAAACAAAATTCTCTGTCAGACAATGATCTTGTCTAAATTTTGGATCCGCTAAAAGCTCTACTATTTAGTCACAATCCAGGATCCGAACTAAATTGCAAGCAAAATCCACAATCTAAGCCAAAATATTAGGTAATCCACAATCCGCTGTATTAATAAGGTTTGCAAATCCGTGTAAAATATTCGCCAAATTCGAACAATTTTTTTTGGCGAAATCCGACGATTCGAAAACCTATTCACCCCTCCCCCTTTTAGGGAGTGGTCATTATTTATTGGGAGGGGGGGAGTTGGTAATTACGGGAAAAATAAGGATTGGAAACTTTTCAACCCCCCCTCCAGACTGAAGGCAAACTTTTCGTGCCCCCCCCCCTAAAATTGGAAACTTTACCACACTGGTGGGGGGTCAGGACGTCAATCTGTTTAATCTAGCTCATGATGTTTTACCCTGGTGAATATGATTCAACCATATATGACTAAAAAATATATATTATGTGTTACTACTTTGCAATGCAGCTTTTGTCCTACCATAACCCATGGCCTGTGAAATTATTTGAAAACAGGGAATTTTTAAGAACTTGTCTGGGGGGGGGGGCATATACAAAAAGGAACCATACTACACTGAGTGTGGAGAGATGATAGATGGTTGTTGGTGACAAAAAGTTTAGTGTGGTATCGTATGTACTAGTAGGGGGTCTGGGGGTATTGTCCCCCCGAAACTTTTTTGTATTTTCCCACCCCTTTAGAACTGCAATGTGAGCATTTTCATAAACAGATTTTTGGATATACGAGTTACATTGTGCTTTGATAGACTGAATCTGATTAGTTAGTACTTGCATGGTATGTTTATGTAAATACCACAACTGGGTCATTCAAGGGGTAGGAAGCTTGTTAAACTTACTGGGCCGCGGGCTCCCACAAAACACTACTAACCATGGTTGGCGCTGAGCGGGGAAATCTTGAGTCTCAGAAGTAGTTCATTGGAAATGGCATTTTCAGAGTCCTCTTTGGCATTATGATTTGTGAGTCTGTGCTATTTGTGATTGTAGAAATCATAACTCTAGACATGATATTTAAGTTCAAAAACTTTTTTACCCCCTCTCGCTAGGTTAAAACCTTTTTGACCCCCTTTATTTATAAGGGTAAAACACCATCCCCCCCTTCCATTTACTACCCCCCTCCCCGTAAATAACGACCACTCCCTAATAATTAAGAAAAACCATTATACCCAAAGTTGTTTAATTAACAAAGTAGTCGATCATTCAACAAAACAATGCCAATTTTATACGGACGAGATAAAACAGTAAAAATTGTGACTGTCAATTTGCATAGTCAAGTAAATTGACTTACCGAAACAAAGGTGAAAATGATGCGCTGGTATTGCCCTTTTGTTGTATATTACAAAAACTGCTATTTAGGCTGACAGCTTGACTTGAAGAAGACTTTGATCCCATCTTGAACATTGCCATGTTGAATCTCCCATCACAGTTGGGCCATTCTGATGCCCCATCCCCAAATTCTTCAACCAAATAAATAGTCGATGGTTCAAGCTACAAGTGATTTGTCAAAACATTTAATTTGTCCCTAATTGGTCACAAGTGTCCTTAATTCATCAAAAGGGAACAATGATTGGGAACAGGTAATGTTGAACCACTATGAACCTTCTAAACTGCAGGAGATCACAGATGTACTGTAGCTATAAACCGATAATATATATTATATATATATATATGGGGGGGGTGCATATTCATATATTCGTGTTCTGCCTGATGGATTTATTTTGAAAGCGATTGTTTTTATAGTATATGTGAACATGAATATTTGAATACACCCCCCCCCCCCAATTATTGCAGGAGATGGAATGTCAGAGACTCTAGTTTCAAAATTTTCCTGGGGGCATGCCCTGGACCTCTTAGAATGTCACCCCACTTTTCCAGGTGCTAATTGTACCTCCCCCCCCACCTCTAGAGCCACTCCGACACCCTGTAGATTGATTTCTTTAAGACTTTTTAACTCTAACGTTCTTTTCAGTAGTGTGATGTCAGAACATTAATGAACATCAACATATACATAGGGATAAAATAGAAAAACGCGCGAAAATGGATGTTGCCAAGGCAACAAGGACGCAAGCAGCATATGGCGAGCAGAAAGGATCAGTTTTATATAAAACATTTAACATAGGCTATAAACTATTATAAATTCACTAGAATATTTAATACAAATAGGAAGGTTTCCTTCTCACTAGCCAATATAATTGACCTTGTACATTTAAATCGACACAATTAAGCAGATTGTACAGGAATACGGGTCATTGTCTATATTTATATAATTTGGGTTTATACAATAAATAATGTTATTGTTAATATATTATTTCATTATTTAATATGGAAATATAGAGTTTCATTATATAGTGTACGTTAAAACTCTTTCATAAATTCTAAATGGAATATTATAAATCTGAAAGCATATGCAAAACCAGATAAAATATTGTATCATTTAATTTTCAATACTTACATCAAACATTATCGCAAGCCTCTCCAAAGAAATTTGGTTTCTTCGTATTTTTCTTTCAATTCTGTCCCCATTGTCTCGCCGTGTAAGAAAAAACACATCATCTCTTTTCTCTTCCAAAAACTCGGGAGTTTCCATGATAAATCAAGTTTAATGCTTTATTATTTTTAATACGTAATGGCTTTATGAATATATCCAGTGTCCAAAGTTTCTGGAAAGACTGGAATTTAACTATAATAACGTGAGAGCACGTGGCCAAAATTACATATAGTTCGCACACCCCCCGGTTACATATTAAGAAATATGTAAGAAATACGTAAGAAATACAGATTTTAAATTTATTGAGTTTTTGATTGCATTGACATCGGAAAACGAAATTCAGATTCCTATTTTTGATTTCCGTTATCATAAAAATTGGAATTCAAAAAACGAAAAACGGAATTTGGATTTGATCGTCCAAATTTCTTTTGTCATTTTCACTGGAAAACGAATGGCGGAATAGTACACGCATTTGTTACACTCCATATCTTCATCATCATCTGAGATAATTAAAAAAAGATGAGCTATTCCCTGCATCTTGGGGCCCCTTTGAGCATAAGGATTCTGGGAATGTTCAGTTTTGACATTATCCAACTACATAAAATAAAGAAGACATTATTATTGATCAGCATTAATCTATAGCACGTCCATATACATCCATAGCTTGTGAAACATGACCGGCTGAGATAGAATTTTGTAAGCTTGCACTGTTAACATCATATTATTTATGGGGAAGCTTGTTGCTAAAAACTACATTCCTGTTAACGTTTAATATAAGATTGTTCTATAGTCCTTGCAAGATACTGTATGAACCATATACATGGCCTTACCTTCACTGGCTGACCCTTGAAAATGCTTACACCAGGATTGTATTCTTCAGGTCCCGACCGAAAGAATGGTCTTGCACCCTTGCGTTTCCCAGTCGCTAATTAAGAGAGAAATTTTGCAATTCAATTTAAGTTTTATCCTTTGATAGTAAAAAAAACATATAGCAAATTTGTGCTGTCCAGAGGGGAGGGGCGAAGTGACCAACAGATGTGTGAAGTGACCGACAGATGGGGGATGCGATTTTGGGCAGCTGTCCTTGGACCATTAATTACTGGAACAACTCATGGGGCCAAAAAAATAATCCTGTGGTTCTGATTTCATGTCCTTAAAAACGTATAAACCCACGGCTGTATGCAGGATTTTTTCACCAGGGGGCCGTAAGGCCTACATGCCAAAAAACCCCAAATATTCAAAGAATAATTAATGACATTCTTAAAACACAGGGCTCCCTGCAAATGGGCTCCCTGCAAATACCGGTAGCAAACAAAGGAAGCAAACAATTATAGTGTCAAATTTGCACTTTCGTTTATATATTAAAACGGCAAGGATGCCCAGCACAGGTGTTCATCCCATGCTGTTTCATACTTGCAATCACTTGTGGAAAATCCATGCAGTAAGTTACTCACAGCATGTTTTGTTGTGATGCACTGTAAAGAGATGCTAGAAAATTTACCTGAACCAGAAAATAGTTTCTCATCGGAAACCCTACCATTCCAAGCTGACAGCAGCATATAGTGGCATCCAGTGTAAGCCATGTATATATCCTGCTTGCGATAACCATGGAAGGGGGCAGTTACTGTCTCTCTCTGAAGGGAATAGGAAAACATTGTGATTAAGAATGATGGGTTTCCATACTGCATGCATGCATGGAGTGGACAATTAACAGTAACTCATAATAACTATTCTACTATTCTAGACCTACTATTCTCTGTCTTGTAATTATTAACAATAGTTTGATGAGGTCTAGTTGCATGGCAACTTGAACAAATCCTACTTGTCTCTACTACAATTTTTGCAAAAATCATAGGACCGGTACTGTACTTATATATATATATATATATATATATACTAGAGATAAATAAATCTGGTATTTTCAAGCACCCATGTATTTTCTTTAAAGGACAGTCTTTGAAAAGCGATAATTGAAAAGCAATAATTTTCACATGCGAGATTATCACTTATCAGTGCTCAAAATCTCTTTAAAAAACTCATTAATAATTCAGGAGGAAAACACAAAGAAAAATCATAAGCGTGTCATATCTTTATATGTGATAAAAAATTATTTTAATTTACATAAACTTTAGCTTTGATTTTCTCGGTTTAGACAAAGTTTATTTTAAAAATTACTTTGCCAATGAACTCATATACCTGTAAGATGAGTCGTTTTTTAAGCCATTTAAAGCACTTGTAGGAGTGTTTTATCAGATATAAAACGCTCAGCTGCACCACGCGTTTTATATCTGATAAAACACTCCTACGCATGCTTTAAATAGTACATAAAGCACTATGCTTTATATAATAAATATATCTAAAACACAAGGAGTGTTTTACAGATATAAAACGCGCGGCGCAGCCAAGTGTTTTATATCTGTTACTGTATAATATAGCATTTATAAATTCTGAACGCTGATTGGCTAAGAGCCGTGTTGATATAACTCAATGTCAACACAGAGAATTTTCCACCACTCGTAAACACGGAAATTGTTCTTATCCTTCAGGCTTTTGAATTGCTATATTGTAAAAAAATATAAAACATTTTTTCCATATTGATATATAGTTACATGTATATCAACACTTGTGGGAAAACTCGAATTGTATGAAAATGCCCTTTGGTTTTGGGCGTTGTGTTTCCATACAATTTCTCGCTTTCCCAATGCCACTTGTGTTGATATAACTGTATATATCAACACGGAAAATGTTTTATATTTGTTAATTAAAAACATGACAGTGAATGTTTTGAATAGCTTAAAATATGACTACAAAAGATGCTGTCTCATTAGTATTCTTTACAGAAGAATACTATTAAATTTATAGGATAAACAATTATATAATATCACATGTGTTTTATGTATAAATGTACGTATAAATATTAGAATTTACCTCTTTTTCTACTGGAACTACTCGATTTTTTAGCATGTACGTCTCTAGAACGTCAATAACATCTGGAACAGCAACTCCTAAATGTTTACCCAAACACTGATAGAAGCAGCGATTCCTTTCGCCGCTTGGATCAAAGTCCAGGGTAAATCCACGCTTGGTCACTTCCAATAGGCACTGAGTACGTCTATCTGCCATCTACGAATAAAAAACCAATGTTTTACTATTAACATAAAATAATAAATAATTCATCACACAAAAATTCATAAAGTCATGAATAATTTATCACACAAAAGATAGAAACGCATTCAAATTTAATGCTTACTTACTTTTGTTAACAGTCTTTTCTAGAAAATAAGTCAAAAAGCACAGGATTGAAGAAGATTCTAAAATTTTTATCGCCCAATCGAGAGTCTGAACGCAGTTGATATCGAGACAAATACGCAAAGAACGAAGCACCGGAAGCGGACCATATTAAGGCATAGAGTGCCCTAGCCACAGAATAGAGAATGCTGCAACCAACCTCGTACCCAGGGCTAGTCACGAATTGAAGGCGGCAACATAGCCCTGGTAAACGCTGGTCACGTGACTCCAAAATTACGTAATTGTTACTTTTCTCAACTGGGGGGTGAATAGGTGAAACTCGAAGACAAACAGTTTTTATCTCCGAAATTCTTCAATCTTCCTTCTGAATTTTGCACTTCAAGCTTTTCTCAAAGTATGGCGATCGATCAAATGGATCAATACTTTCTGTAGAAAAAACTCAGTGAGATTTGTTCGTATGAGACGTTTAATTAAAAGACATGGATATGTCGCCAAAGACGCTCGATCATTGCACAGGTTTATGGAATAGTACTTTGTTCATTTTGTTGCGACTTATGCAAATTCAACTCTTGTATAATGACTAAAAGTTGGTTTGTAGAGGGACAACTTATACAAAAGATATGAATACATTAGCTTCAAACTAGGGACAAGTTCATGGACAATGGACATCCCTAATATATGGACATTGATATTTCACCAATATGTAAATATGACTATTAAATATATAAAAGGATTGCTGTTGTATTACTTGTATATGTATATGTACAAGTGTTGTGCTGTGGTATCTATGGACTAGAATTTCTGAGGGGGTTGAAAAAGCCGTTTCTGAGGGGTTGTGTGCATCGGCATGACGGCATCCTTTGATCTTTGCATTTTTTCTGAGGGATAAGGCAAAAATTTCTTAATTTCTGGGGGGGTGTTGGTGTCGGCACTTTGATCTTTTTTTCTTAGGGGTTCAAATTTTATTGAACTCGTCCATAGGGGGTGTATACATTAATTAATGGAATGGCCCAATGCACCCAGATGCACCCTACTTTGTTAGTTTACTCTGTCTAACGCCAGACAATTTTACTCGTCAGGTGGAGGGTGCATGGCACCACTCAATGGGTTAACATAGTCGATGAACATGCCAAATGATCCTTGACCGTGGTAGTACATTTTTGCACTTGCTGGATGATATTGCAACGAAGCATTGTTTCAGAGGAAGAGCACTGAGATCATGCTGTGTAGCAATTGGAATCTCACATAGAGCCTGCTCTCACATAAAGCAGGCAAGACCTTCACTCAGAAGCCAGTCCTGATTAATATTAATTCCCCACATAAACACTTGGAAACCAGACTGTCCCATCTGCAGGACAAAAAAACATGCAGCCTGGACTTTAACTGTTAAACAACCAAATCAGCATGATAAACAGTGTGATGATTTTTGTTTAGCCCAAACCAAAGCCAGGTTTCTAGAATTAATTTGCAGAATCCTAAGAATTGGACCTCCAACTTGAAGAGCTAGCTGTGCTAACCAAGTTGCACAGGCAACCCTGAATTGACGTGACTAGAGCAAACCTTCAAAAAATAATAGAGAGATCAGATTTGACTTCCACTGCTGCTATTGCTACCATTAACTAGATAAGTTAAATTTATCCAATCAAACAATCGGATGCAACTGCCAGATCAAGTAGTGGTAGTGGAAGTCAAATTTGAACCTTTCTATATGGATTTCAGAGAGACCAGTCATTATTTGCCGATATATTATTATAACTTGTTTAATCAAAAGCTACTATATATTAATTTATGATATTAAAAATTGATATAATTTTATCTATAAAGTGAGAATAATTTTAAAAAAATATTCATAACATAAAATGATTCATGCATGCTGGTGATTGAATAAACCATGAAGTGTGCATTCTGAATCTCTACAAATTCCTTGACATTATTTTTCCAGTACAGTGTAAAACTATATATATAAATGTGACACAGGTTGCAGGTATTAGGTTGCATGTCCACCAGTGTGCTGAAATACCATCCAGTGACCCGGTCTTGTTCATTATTACTTGCATCTTGCTTAATTCAACTGTTTTTGCCCCATTTCTTGTACCCATTAAGTTCTTTTCAATAATCTAGAAAACTTCAAAATCATTCAGTAAATTTAATTTTAAAATTGGGTGAAAGGTAAGGGGTCAATAATAGATGAAGAAATCATTTCTTATTGTTCATACATATGGCCCCATCTCTGTAGGGATTAGAGTAGAAATTTATTGAAGCCTGAAGTCAGAAAATAAATATGGCAACAAGGTTACATGCCATACTGCAGAGTTAGGCAATTTTTTTAAAGATCTCAAGGGCACAAAAGGTATAAATATAGATTGTAGGGGCAAGGGAACAAAATAATGAAATTGTGAGATTCGGGGGCAGGTTTTACAATGGGGTGCTAAAATTTTTCCCTAAAAAATCCCTGACCAGCTGGAGTGCTGAAACTGATGTTTGACTATAGGCCGTTGGATGAGGGTCGAAAATGTTCAATTCCGTAGCACCCCTCGTGTAACTACATAATTTTTACATGAATGGATAGATTAGAACTTACTTAGTTAGAATCCACTTCCCCCCAAGCGAAATAGTTGCACAAATTGAAGTACAACCTCTCCAAAGTTCATGCTTCGTCGTATCTCGAAATCCGTGAACCGCCATTGTTGTATTGCAAATGCGCATGCGCTTGACCACAAAACACTTAATGCGCACGCGCAGATAACAGAAACTGATCTCAAACCAGAACTGGAGAAACCTGGACAAGAAAAAAATTATGAAATGTGCGAAAGAAGGGCTGAACTGAAACAAGATGACATCGGAGTGTTTTAAAAATATATGATATTTTTATGTTTTGTGCATTTTAATGGTTTTTTCCAAACATTCTGAGTAATTTACCGTGTCAAGCCCTGGCCAGGAACACTTCCAAGCCAACATTACAATAACTTATTCAAAATATGATGTTATTTTATACTACAGCAATTGCATGACGTTCGCAAGCGAATCTGTTTTTCAGGCTTTAAATATTATCATAATCATAAACATTCCGGGCCGAACACAGCGGGGAGACAGGGGGTAACTGCCCCCCCCCCCCCACCTAGAGAAAACTATATTTACGGCTTTTAGAATGTCATTATATTAATTATTCTTCGAATATTTGGGACTTTTTTCGGCATATAGGCCATACTTCCCCCTGGTGAAAAAATTCTGCGTACGGCCCTGTAAACATCTAGAACACACATATCGTTATTTATCAATTTTTAGGGGGGGGGGGTATCTATGGTTTGCACGTTTTATTCCCTTTAAATATGCAACATCGGGTACTGTGATTTTCATTAAAATATCATAATTATCTTTCAAATACAATACTTTCATGCTTCACGATTTTATACATAAATCTCACTAAATTAAATTTAAATATGTTGCCCAACAGCATTAAGACGAAAATCGGAACAAGACCAACAAATTACCTGACTCAGACTGAGTAATTTGCTCGTTATCAAAACATCACTGCTCTCCAAAATGTCTTCAGTGAAACCGTCATCAGTACTCTGACTCGATCCAAAAGTTACCCACCATGATCATCATCATCATCATCATCACTATTATCATCACCATCGCTGAGTGGTTATATTACTACCTGAAACAAACAAGCCGAAACTCGACCTTTCGAGCGAAGGCCCTTCGTCAAGAGTTAGTAGCCTTCGCTCGAAACGTCGAGTTTCTGCTCGTTTATTTCAGGTAGTAATATAACCACTCAGCACAGAAATTTCACATTGGTACTACCACTCTGGTACAGACCGTTTCTGTTTTCCATCGCCTTTGATCTTCAAATAATTAGGGTAAATATGTTATCTAATTAACAACATGAAGTCGCAAATGGGAACAAAGGCCAACAGATGATTAACACGTTGTGGGTATATAGGTTTCTCGCTCAACCTGAACTCGGAATCTTTCTTTCAGCTGGTTGAAAGAAACGTTTTACTTACACTGTGTTATTCCTACAACCTCGATCTACACTGGACCCCCACCTTGTTCAAGTTATTACAACAGGTGGTTACCCGATCTTATCAAACCATCACTGCTCTTCGAAAATTTTAGCAGCGATATGTCATATAAAACTTCTCCGAGTTCAAATTTAGAGAAATCTTTTCACCCACATCGTGTTAATCATCTGTTAGCCTTTGTTGCTATTTGCGACTATATGTTGTTAGATTACATATTTACCCTGATTGTTTGAAGATCAATGGCAATGGAAAACAGATGATGATGGACAACTTTTGGAGTCAGAGCGAATGACGGCACGTCGACGGTTTCGCTGAAAACATTT